AGTGTTAAGAATAGATCAATTAAAGCAAGTACTAACAACTGGTTTTATAGTCTTGCTAGCTACCACGAAGTATCTAGACAATTCCCAAGCAAGAAGCTCCGGACTCAAGTTCAAAACTTTTGTGGAAATGCAAAAGCGTGGAAAAAGAAGTGGGATAGCAATCTCGGGGTACTATTCAAGGTACCGTTTTGGCGTGTGATTCTCGATGAAGCACACTCAATCAAAAACAGAGAGTCTCAGAGTAAGTTCGTCTATAACTCCGGCTACTAGAGTGACTGAGCGCTGTCATGGCCAAGGTCCCAGAATTGATAGCGTTCAATGTTTGCTTTACGACGATAATGTTGTGGTTCTGTTTCGTGACTAATACTAACGCCGTGTAGTGTCAATCTCATGCCAAAGCCTAATCGGGCGGAACCGCTGGGGGATGTCAGGGACTCCAATCACCAATTCCCTCGATGGTATGAGAGCTAAGCGGAGTAGCGATGAACAGTGTTCCATGCTAATATGACATAGAACTCTACCCCTATTTAAAGTTCCTTAAGACAAATTGGGTTGGAGACCTCCGTGATTTTCACTATCTTTACGCGAACAGTGGAGATGTAAGCCGCCACTTGTCTAGTTATCTAGTATGTTCGCTCCGGCTAACAGAGAGTAGGATCAATCAGCAGGTCGTCTCGATGCAATTATGAGCATACTTATGCTGCGAAGGTTCGACTACCTTCTTAAACTTTTACCCAGTTTCTTACAGTTAATAGGACAATGGCGGATACTTTCATGGGTCGACCACTTTACGAAATCCCTATGTGCCATATTTCTGTGAGACGAGTTCGTCTTACAACGGAGGAGCGAGTAATTTACAGGTGAGAAATGTAATTACTTAGTACTCGTGGTTTACTAATTAATCCAAAGTGTTGTTGAATCTCGATTTCGAGCAATAATCAATTGGATACTACGACAACACCCAGGTATCCGTCTGCAAGACCTCCCCATCTACCTTGTCTTTTTACTGCGACTCCGCCAAGGCGCAGCGCATCCGTTTCTACTTGAACCGGTATTGAAGAAGACATTGAAGCCCGGAGATCTTTTCGATATCAAATCACGTCTTCGGGAAGTAGGTGGCAAGAAGGCAGTTTTCAAGCAGATCGGGAAGTGGTGTGGCAAGAAGGCAGCTGCTGTCAATGGCGCAACTGAACAGGTTCAAGAGAACGGGCAGGATTCTTTTGGTAACAGCCAATTTGGCTACGAATTCAACATGGAAAAGCAGTTGATTATCGCTCAAAAATCAAAGGAGACAAATGTGTGTCGGATCTGCTACGAAGAACCTCTTGACGGCTGCGTAGCTCAAGTGAGTTGAGAGTATACCAAGTGACCGGGATATTTTACTAATGGAATTTCGTAGTGCGAACACCTTTTTTGCAAGGATTGTCTCGACGACCACATCCGGAGTGAACGCCGGGAGGGGCGCGTAATACCCCGGTGCCCTGAGTGTGACAAGTCATTAACTGAATACGAATCATTTGAAGAATCTGATTCTGAGTATTCAGATATCGAAGATTCGATAAGTAAAAAAAGATCTCGTAAGCCAATCCTTATGCAAAAGCAAGGCCGCGATAGTTTCAAGCAGCATCCAAAGCTAAAGAGATCACAATCAAAATTCTTGCTACAATGCGACCAGGCTTATCCTCAGCCTGTAGTCCCAAGTTCTAAGACGGTAGCCGTCAAACAAGCTATCCTCAGATGGCAGTCTGAGGCGCCCGATGACAAAATCATCGTGTTCATGGAATTCAAGCTGACTGGCGCAATCCTTGGACGTATGTTGGAGGCGGAGGGTATTCACTTTCTTTACTTCTTCGGGGATATGACTACAGTAGCAAAGCAGAATGCCATTCGAGGGTTCCATGAGAGGAAGGACATTAAAGTTATGGTATGTTTATAAGTGAAATCAGTACGGTAGGTTTCACTAACGATCATTAGGTGGCTTCTTTTCGATGCGGCTCAGTTGCACTCAACTTAACTTGCGCCAACAGAGTCATTCTAGTTGATCTATGGTGGAATTATGCTATTGAGATGCAGGCCTTTTCAAGAGTGTTCAGGATCGGTCAGACCAAGGAAACACACTTCCTCCGAATTATCGCCCAGAATACTATTGACAACCGACTGGAAGCAGTCCAAGAAAGAAAACTAAAGAATATCAACCGAGCTTTGAAGCCTGGTGAAAAAGAGCAGTTGTCTGCGGAAGATATCGCATCACTTTTCGGCCACCTCACAAAACATGAGGATGGAACTTTCGAGATCTTACCTGATTGTGAAGACGATGCTGAAGTGGATGAGACAGAGGAAGCCAAGGTGGTTGACGACTAAGCTCTTACGCCGGGTTGCTATTTTCCTCTTTACGGTAGAAGGAAATCAATTCACCAAAACCCAACATCAAAAAAAAAAGGGGGGACAAAAGGAGAAGAAAAAATGAAAATGAAGAAAATAAAAGAAGGCGCGGAGAGTCCCCGAGGGCACAACACATCTGCCTTCTCGTATCACATATCGTATTCTCTTAATTATTGCCCTAATACTCCACGATACACACGTCAGCTAGATATTAACAAATATCGGTCTATAGATATAACACAATTACAGCCTGCGTTGCACTACTAGATAGATTAATTAATTACGAAGATTTTTACACTGACCGAGCACACACCATTTAATAAGTAGTGATGCCCTCATGTTTCCTAGCCTCTCGTTATAATTCTATTTGTAAAGATCCATACGAGAGAAACTCCAAATTTAGAACTCAACAGATAATTATTATATTGATGCTAGCATTTTAGCAAACATTTACAAGAAACAACATCCGTAGCGAATTGTTAACTAATGTTCCATCATATTTTTTATTGCCCCTGGCAGCTTGTGTCTCTCAATATTGAGTTCACTAAACTTTGGAAAAGATTCAAATCTCTCATGACCTTGTACTGCAGCATCCTTGGCATCCATTTAGGTTAAAAGTATATATTTTCGCGGTCCATGATTGCAAGGATGAATAATTGGTCTTCCTCGTTTCATATGTGCTAACCAGTTAACTGGAATGCGGTCGCGGGGTGGCTGTTCTGGAGTTATGATCAGCCAATCTTTATACCATGCGCATGAAGATATAAACGATCTAGAAGTTTTCATTGAGCTAGTACTTACGGTGAGCGGCTTAACTTCACTTCGATACTATTTAAACTATGATGTCTTTGAATTTTGATTTTGAAGAAGTGATTATGATCGCTTTAGTGTTGAGAATAGGATGCGAGGTTGTCCGAAAATGTATGAATTCTTGGCATTTTCTTCCTGCATGGTTTAGTTTCGTGTAAGTTTTTCAATCGTAAGGGTGTTACAGTCAAGGTCATAATTTCATGGGACTCAATTGTCAGCAAAATTCTCAACAGCCTCAAAAATGAGATGTCGCTTAAATAATATTTATTTATATAATAAACGAGGAAAGAGATATTGGAGGAACTGTTGAGGGCTACTTATGATGACTGAAGCTGAAAAAAGTGCGGAGCCCAAGACAAGTGACGATCCAAGCCTAACCCCGCCCGCGCATTCAAAGCCAATGCTCCAACAATCCATTAATGACTCGGAGCAGCTCCTGTGACTACGGTAACCATACTTCCATCTTCACTAATAAAAACAGTTATCGTCATCAAATAAGACGCAGCACTATGGCAACTAAAACCGACTCAAAAGACGTCGTCTCGCTCCTGAAGACCCTCATGAACATCGAGAGCACGAGCGAGAAGGAGCTCGAGATCGGGCAGTATCTCGCAGACTACATCCAAAGCCTAGGCTTCACCGCCGAGCGCATCCCCATCGCACCCGACTCCACCCGGCACAACGTCTACGCCTACCTGGGCGCGGCGCGCAAGGCGCGCCTGCTCGTGACGGCGCACATGGACACGGTGCCGCCGCACATCCCGTTCAGCCTCTCCGACGACGGCGACGTGGTGCGCGGGCGCGGGGCCTGCGATGACCTGGGCCCCATGGTGGCGCAGATCTTCGCGGTGCAGGAGCTGCGCGCCGCGGGCGCGTTGAAGGAGGGCGACGTGAGCTTCCTGTGGGTCGTGGGCGAGGAGAAGGGGGGGCCGGGCATGATCGCTGCGAATGACATGGGGCTCGCGTGGGAGGCTGGGCTCTTCGCTGAGCCGACGGAGGGCAAGGTCGCGAAGGGACATAAGGGGAACCTCGTGTTCGAGGTCGTCGCGCGCGGGAAAGCTTGGTAAGTAACGCCCGCCGGATTCACTTACAATATCAATTTGAGAATGTAGAGCCAGGAAAAGAGTAAATGTTGACTGGGATATGGGATGCATGAAGCCATTCTGGATACCCGCACCTAGGCAAGAGCGCGACGCTGCTGCTCCTCAACGCGATGAATGACCTCGGGGCAGTGGAGTGGCCGGTGTCTGACCTGCTAGGCCCGACGACGCTGAACATCGGCAAGATGGAGGGCGGCGTGGGCTACAACATCCTCGCCGCCGAAGCCAAGGCGCTCTGCAGCATCCGCGTCGCCAAGGACATAGAGGGCATTAAGAAGACCGTGAGAGAGGTCATAGATAAGCACCCCGATGTCGAGGTCGACTTCAAGTTCCAGTACCCCGAGATGGTGCTGCAGTGGGAGTTCGAGGGCTTCGAGGCCGAGCCGATGGCGTATGGCACGGACATACCGAGATTACGTGGCGACCATAGAAAGGTGCTCTATGGTCCGGGCTCGATACGTGTCGCGCACGGTAAGGACGAGTATATCCGTGTTAGTGAGATCATGGAGGCGATTGAGAAGAACAAGAAACTCATATTAGAATTACTGAAATAAGCGAAACTCAATAAGATAGGAGGCTTGTTTTTACCCCTTGTTCCTACAGAGTTTACATAGGCTTATGTACTGGAGGGCAGAACATGGATAGACATAAAGACAAAAAAAAGAAAAATTGTAACCAACTTCATAGTAGATATTACGAAAAAGAGAACTCCGAATCGGGGAATCGAACCCCGGGCTTGACGGCACTTCAATGAGAGCGTCAAATGTTAGCCACTACACCAATTCGGATAGGAACGTTGGTTGATGGTTGGGCTTACAAATTCCACTATAACGAGGAGGGGGCTAGCCCCACCAAGTTCTAGCCCCTCTCCACAGTCCCGTGACGATCAAAGAAGCCATGTGATAAACACGTTATGTGGGCTTAACGTAATTTCGCAGTTTAAAAGAACTGCCGATCTACCGACATGGTATATGGCATGTCTCAGCCCTATCTAAACGAGTAGAGTTGTCTCTTTATTTTGAAATATACGATTAGGTAGAATATTCTAAGGGTGTGAAACCTACCTAATATCTCTCTAGGCCAGATGATTGGGTCCAACTATACAGTATACCGACATAGCTGGCTGACCGCCTGGAATTTTCGGGTGATTACCGCTGCTTTTGCTGACATCACTGTACATACAATGGCAAGGGGCTTGAGAGTTACCATGCTCACAGCACATGCGCTGCCTAATCAACCTCTTCAGGCCCCTGGCAGTCCCTGATGCTAAGGAGTCCGGCACCGGGGCTGCGGGTTGAAATCACCCAATAGCAACATGTGCAATTCCTATCAATGCATCGATGCAGATGCAGCTACGCTATCTAAGCAGCCCCTCAGTGGGGAAGTTGTCAAGGTCTTTGCATATACATATACAGTAGCAAGTAGATAAGTTGTTAGAAATAAGCCTTCTGGATTGATCAGATTGATTGGTCTATTATTGTTGTTGTTGTGTCACCGCTGTTCTGAGAGATTTTTCTCTAGCATACAAAATAAGTACATAAGTAAAACCCCTTGAAGCAAAAAATATTTTCTTTTAGTTAGATCTTTTTAGTACCAAAATATAAAGTTTAATTTACTTTTTATATTTTTAATACACTTTTGTAAAACTAAGCTTTTAAAATATTGCTTTAATTAATATAAAAAGTTTAAAATAAGCTTTAAATTAGTTTAGTAATCGTTTTAAAAATATTAATAGTAAATTAACAAAAAAACTAGTTAATATTTAAACAAAAAAGCAGTTTAAAAATATATTAACTTTTTCTGTTGATTTTTTATTGCGTTTTTAAATGTTTTAAATAATTTAAAACAATTTAATAATATAACAAAATAACAAGTATATATATTTAAATAAATAAGCGATATAATAAAATATATACTATTTTTTTAACTTTTTATTATATTTTTAATTGATTTAAAAATTATACATTAGTTTTAATTTATATTAATTAATTTAAAAGCTGTAAAATTATTTTTAAAAGTATTAAAATCGATTTAAAAACTATTAATTAGTTTTAAATTAATAACTTGTTAACTTTTTTTTTTTAAAGTTTTTTTTTAAAACTTTTAAATTTTTATAAATAGCTTTTTTTATTTATTTTGTTTATAATTTTTTTTTTATATTAATTAAATTAAATTGTTTTAAAAAGCTTTTTTATTTTTTTTTTACAAAGTTTTTTATAAATTTATTTGTAATTATTTTATTTATAAATATATATTTAACTTATAAATATTTTTGTTAAACTTTTTGCTTTAATTAATAATTATATATATTAATATGTTTTAATTTAATTTTTAAAACTGCTATTTTTTTGTTTATTAGTTTTATTATTTAAAAGTTATTATATTAAATTGTTATATAGCTTTTTTTTAATTTAAAACTTAGTTTTTTAAAAAGTCAGCTTATAAATAAGCTTTTTTTTAAAACTTGTAATAATATTAAAAGTTTTATTTTAATTATTAAAATAATAACAATATTTTATTTTATAACTTTTTAATTTATTATATTTTTAAATAAAATTATTATATAAGCTTGTAAACTTTTATAATTTAAAATATTATTAATAAAAAAAAAATTGCTAGCTATTATAAAATCGTTTTTTGTTTTATATTAAAAAATATAATATTTTATTTTATATAAATAAAAGATTATTTTATTAGTAACAACGTAATATTTAAAGCTTAAATTTAAATTAAATTAAGTTAGCTTTAAAGCTATAAAAACAATATTAGATCGAATTATTATAACAATATATAAAATCGATCTGATTTTTTTTTAATAAAAATATATTAAAGCTTAATTTACAATTTGATTATAAAATAAATATTTTTATATTTATATAAAAGTTTTTAATTTAATAATAAATTTATTTAACTTGTTAATTTTTTCGATATAAAAAATTTATAAAAGCTATAATAAACATTTTTTATAGTTTTTTATTATTTTTATATTTAAAAACTATTATAAATTATTACTATTAATTATTTAATATTTCTTTTAAAAAAACTATATAGCAGTTAATATTATTTTTTTTTGCTTTTTTTTATAAGCAACTATTATATTGTTAATATAAATAAAAATTAAAATGTTGTTTTTAATATAACAGTAAAATTTGTAAAAAATTAATAAAAATTTTATTTTTTTTAATAAATTTATTAGTTTTTTTTGTTATAAAAGTAATAATTTTTATAAACTATATAACATTTTAAAAAATTATAAAATTATTAAAAACTTTTTATAATTTAAAAATATTTTTATATAAATTTTTTTATTTAATTTAATATTTATAAAAATATTTATAACATTATATTATTTAAATTTAAAATTAAATTTAGCTGTAATAATTATTAAAGTTTTAAAAAACTTTTTAGTTAAAATAAAAATATAAGTTTTTTTTTATTTGTTAAAAAGTTGTTAATTTTTATAAACTATTAGTTTTATTTTATACTTTTGAAAATTTTTTTTTTTATTAAATTTATATATATAAACTTATATATAATTAAAAAAAAGTTTTTTTTTTGTTTTAATAAAGTTAATTTTTATTTAAAACTTTATTTTTTTATAATTAATTAAATAAACTTTTTTTATTTTAATAAATAAGTTTTTTATTAAATATATTTTTAAATTTTTATAAAATTATAACAATAATAGTAAATTTTTTTAATTAATTAATAGTTTTTTTTTTTTAATTTTGTTATTAATTTTTTTAATAAATTAACTACTTTTTTTTTATTATTTTGATTTTTTTTAAAACAGTAATAAAAATGTTTTATTAGTTTAATTTTTATAATTTTTATAATTAATTTATTATATATTTTTATTATAATATTTAAATATTTAAAATTAAATATAACTTTTTAATAGTTTTTATAAAATATTATTTTAATATAAAAATTAAATTTTTAATTTTTTAAGTTTTTAAAAAAATTAATTTTTTAATTAATTAATTTAATAAAAATATAAAAAATAAGTTATAATATTATTTTATATAAAAAAATAAAATAAAGTTTTTATAACAAATTTAATAAAAAATAATTAAATTTTTTAATTGTTATTTTAAATATTTTTTTATTTTTTATTTTTTATTTTTTTTTTATAAATATATTTTTTAAACTAATATTTATTAATAAAAATATAAATTTTTTTATTTGTTTATATAATTTTTTAAAAATTAAATTAAAATTTTTTTTTTATTTAAACATTTTATAACAAGTTTTTTATAATATTTAAATTTATATTTAAAAAATTATTTTTTAAAAAAGTTATATTATTGTTAAAAATAACTTTTTTATTAAAAATAACATTTTTAATTTTTATAATTTTATTAATTTAAAAATATTAAATATAATATATATTAAAAGAAAAGTAGCTAATAAAAAAACTTATAAAAGTTTTAAAATTAAATTTTTAATTTTTTTTTTTATTTTTTTTTAATTTATATAATTATTATATATATTTTATAATTAAATATTTTTAAATATATTAAATAAAGTTTATAATTGTTTATTATTTTATTTTTTAATATAACAAAAAAATAAAAACATTTATAAAAAAACTTTTAATTTATAAATTATTTAAATATTTAATTATAAAAATAAATTACTATTTTTATAATTTTAAGTTATAAATATTAAAGTAGTTTTATATTTATTTTTATAGTTTTAGCTTTTTTTTTAATAAATTATTTAATATATTTAATATTTTTATTTTATATTTATATATATAATATAAAAAGTTTTATTTATATATTGTATTTTTTTTAAAGCTATTTTTTAAAAATTAAGTTTTTAATAATTTTTTTATTTATTTTTATTATAGCTACTTTTAATTGTTAATATATTTTGATTTAATTTAAAAAATATAATAATATTTTTTAAATATAGCAATAAAATCAATTTTTAAAATAATAATTAAAACAAATATTTAAAAATTAATTTATAATAAATATAAAGTTTATAAAACTTTTATAGTTTTTTATAAAAATATAAAAATCAATAGTAATTTTTTTTTTTATTTTTATAAATATTTTTTTAAAAAATTTATTAATTTATTTTATAATTTTTTTTTTTATATATTTTTTACAGTTTTTAATTTTTATTTAATTATTTAATAATTTTTTAATTTTAACTTTAAAAATTTAATTTATTAAATAGTTTAAAAACTTAATATTAAAATGTTTTAATTATAAATATTATTTAATTAAATTTTTTTTTAAAACATTTTTTTTTATATATAAAGTTATAAAATTTTTTTTTATATAAAAAGTATTATAATTAATTAATAAAAGTAAATATTTAATTATAAATTAATTAAATTAATTTTAAAGTTTATAAAAAATCGACTTATTAAGTTAATATAAAATATTATTTATAAACTTATTATTTTATTAAGTTTTTTATTTATTTAATATTTTTAAAAATATTAAATTAATAATAATTTTTTTAATATAAGCTATATTATATAGCTTTATTACTTTTAATTTTTTTAATTTTTAAAACTTAATATTTATATTTTTATAAACTAAAATTAAAAAAATAAAATTTTTAATATATATATATT